CTTATTTTTAGCTGACCATTGCTCAAAGATCACGGATTCACTGAGCTTCCTCATCATGATCTCTACAAAAAATATAATAATAATAATTTTGATGTCAGCATTATATTTTACCTAAGGTTATTAATGTGAAACTATGATAAGAACTGAAAAGTAAATTAAATGCTTAGTAGCATAAGAAAAACATTGTACATGTGGGCGGATAGAAAATAATTGTTTCAAAAAAACAATGTGGAAAACTTAATAGGTTCCCATAATTTTGTCATAGATAATTACTAACAAGACTTGATGACGAAGATGAGTAAAAAATGTAAAAGGAGTATTTTTTTTTCTAGCTGGAGTGAGACATCTTCGTTCTTGTTTAGATCTCTGTCAGTTTCCGCTTTCTCATTTCCGTACACAAAAGCTCTGCTGATGACGTGTACACACTGCTTCGTCGTTAGCTGGTTAGCTTAGCCACCTGTCAGAGTACAGAGGATAAAATAAAAAGGATTGAAAGAAAACGAGGGACACAAGGCGTTTCAGCGAACCCATAAAAATGGAGACGCTTTATCACCAGACCAACAAGTGAGTGCAGTGACAGCTTCTGTGAAAACTGCGCCGACTCTGTTAGTTGATTTAGCTTTGTAATGTAACTAACCTAGCAACCCAATTAACGGTCCAGAATCAAAGGAAGCTCATTGACAAAATACTTATAATAACTTTGAAAATGTATTTAGCATGTGTTGGTGTGGTAATGAAAACTACATCACTTACGCTGGTGTTTAAATATTTCAGTTTCTGTTCAATTAAACGCTGTATTTGTATTGGATTAGGCAAATCCAGGAGGTGCAGTCTCAAATGGGAAACCTGGAAAGGACAGACCGCGAATCAGTTCACCGTGAGTATGATCATGATGACGGTTAACTTCAGTTTCGCCTTTAAATTTTGTTCTGATTCAAATAACAGAGAAGTGTTGTTGCCACCTCCTTATCTAAAAGTAGTCCGTAGAAGTTCTTTGTGGTAGCTTCTCGTTGATGTTTTGGCTGGTCGAGGGAAGTGCCTCTCTGACGGGTTGTTTTCTGTGGATGGTGCCCGTTACATCAGCTCTGGGTCGGGACAGGAAGCAGTCGGGTGGGAGCCAGTCTATCCACCTCCTCAGTCCCTTCACAAACTGTGACATCAGCTTACATTTCTTTTAAAAGAGGATGTAAGAAAAAAAAAAAAAAAAAAAAGCAAAAGCACACACACAAAACACAAACATTAACTACAAAACCTGACCTGATTTCAAGAATATATTTTAAAAGTTTTTTTTTGTTGAAGTATGTCACAAGTTCAGTTTGAAGACATCTTTAAGCAGAATACGTTTGTCCAGGTTTGACCTGTCTATTTGCATGCCTGCTGTAGTATAAAGACAAGGAAGCACTGAAAATGCATTGATTTATTTGTCATAAATGGAAAAAAAAAAGATGAATCTCAATTTGCGTTTAAAAATATCTGATCACAGTTTAAATTGATGCAGTGGAGTTCTGAACAGTGTAAATATGATAGATTTGAAACTTGAGATAGTCAAACACAATCCACTTACAGAGTACAGCAATATATAGTTTTTACATAATGCAAACACAGATGGCACCCACTTTACTCACTGGGAATGAAAATAGGCTTCTTATTTATTTTATTTTATTTTTTTACCTGTCCCTGTTTTCCTCCTGGCTGGGTCAGAAAGCTATGTCTGCTATTTTACAAACTCAATGTGAGTTAAAACAATAAATAAAGAGTATAAATCCACTAATAACACCCATTACAATTTAAAACTTGACTGAAATTAGTGTATAGTGATCGTTAATATGTTTTTATCTATTTTCTTTCCTCTAATGCGAGTTCTTTTTTTCCTACATTTCAAGTGTTAGAGAATGAACTACAGGCTAGAATCGACCAGATTTTCACTCATCTGGAACGCCTTGAGATCCTGGCCAGTAAAGAACCACCAAACCGGCGCCAGAACGCCAAACTGTGAGTGTTGAGTGATTCAACTGCTGGTGGCCGTAAAAGGCCCAAATCTGACAGCGTGAGCTGTCTCTCATAAAGGCACAGGGTGGATGCAGAAGACTAAAACAGCTCTGTGCTGCCCTGTGGCGACGTGGCTCTATGAAAACATTTCCTCAGAAACCCTGTCATCGTCAGCGTTCCAGCTGCATTGGGCAGAGATTCATCTCTGGCTTGGGTAAGCAGGCCCTAGGGGACAGTGTTCACCATAAGCTTTCCTCTGATCCCAGCAGGTCTCTAGGAAGACCTAGGTGAAGGATAAGAATGGGCCTGGAAGAGACTCTTTACAGATTTGAGCTCCAAAAGAATTCTCCTTTATCCAGAAACTATGAATTTCAGGATGATATGAGGGAATAAATACAATATTTCATTCTAATGGATAGGCATGAATTTAATGTTTATCGTTTTGCCAAAGCCACTCACCATGAATGTTAGTGCCTTAAATCGTTATTGATATAGTTACAGATGCAGAAGATGGTTAAAAAAAGTAAGTTGCGATAGAAACCGAATTAAGTTCTTTGTATAATCTAGTGTGTTGTTTCTAGAAAAAGGATTTCTTCCGTTGCTTTTCCATCAGGCGAGTGGATCAGCTGAAGTACGATGTTCAGCACCTGCGGACCGCTCTCCAAAACTTCCAGCACAGACGCTACACCAGAGAGGCCCAGGAGAGAGAGAGGGAGGAACTCCTGAGCCGCACCTTCACCACAAATGTAAACTGCATGAGCCTGTATACAGCCTCACATTCAAAATAAAAATTGTAATATTTGGAAATTTAGTCAAGACTAGCAGTTCAGTTGGATTATCAATAATTTTAATTTTTTTTTCAATGAGGACATGTAGGGTTTTGCAAAGCCTTAAACTTTATTTACAAACCTTTATTTAAGGTTCATTTTTGTAATTGTGAAGTGGGAAATGAAATATATGTGAAGTGTCAGCTTTCATCAATCTGCACTGCTTCACATGTACACCAAAAAATATGTGGGTGTTTTCTGGTTAGAGCATAAAAATCAGTTCTGCACTTTTCAGATTTGAATTTCTAAAAAAACTTTCAATCCACACTTAATCTTTTCATTTCACAGCTATGTGCTATTTTGTGCTACTCTGTTAGACAAAATACCAATGAAGTATGAAAATTGAGGTTGTAACTACAGTAGTATAAATACAGCAGTTGAAAGTATTTTAATAGAGTGATATGATTTCTTAAGTATAGTGTAGTTTAAAAAATGCTGTATTTTGACAGGATGCGGATACCTCCATCCACATAGATGAGACCATACAGTTAAACACAAGCCTGCACAACGCACACAGAGGAATGGACGACCTCCTGGGCAGCGGCAGTAGCATCCTCAATGGCCTCAGAGATCAAAGGTCAACTCTCAAGGTGTGTGCTAATCAACAAAATAAATTCTGAGCTAGCTTCAATGTTTTCATATTTAACACCAGAAATCATATCTAAAGATATGATTTCTGCTGTGCATAGTAATTATGTCATTGTTAGCGAGGGTATTCTGAGTGGGTGGGTGAGTCCTCGTTTCCAGGGAGGAGATGGGCTTCCTGGCTTTGGCTTCAGCTTCTTCTTATCAGGGTGTGACTGCTGATCAGCACTCTCAGCCAGGCAGTCCAGACATGAGAAACTCATGACAGAGTGGTGGAGTCAGGGAGCCTCTCCCAAACTCAGACGAATTAGTGCTGATAATGAACAATGTGCTGCGGCTTTACAGCTGTTGAAGTCATTGCTTTTTTTTTTCCTTTTTGTTTTTGTTTTTTGGGGCTGCACAGGGGACGCACAAGAAGATGCTGGATGTAGCCAACATGTTGGGCCTCTCTAACACAGTAATGAGACTAATAGAAAGACGAGCCACCCAGGACAAGTTCATCATGATTGGAGGCATGTTGTTGACCTGCGTCTTCATGTTCCTCGTCATCAGATACCTGGGCTGACCACGACTAGGTAGTCAATCAGATGTGGACATTTCAGGAAAACATCGTCCCACAGGATATGAAATTTAAAGTGATTTTAATAAAATGTGCCATTGTTTTTTGTTGTTTACTTTCAATAAATTCACCACTTTGCTTTGGTTACATGTTAAACAGTTAGGCTGAAGAAGTTCTTATTCAGACAGTATTTTAGTGTAGAACTTTTCTGTTGATCAGTTTTCCAGTCTTACAGCCAAACGCGGACTCTTCTTCAAACTGCTCCTGTTTTTTTCTTTCATTTTCCAAAAATGTCCCATCAATGTATGATTGAAAGGAAGTCCAAATGTGTAAAAACACTTATTTCATTCTGTGAATGTTTAATTACCTGTAATCCGATATCCAGATTCTTGATATCCAGAGTCGAAGTCTGATTTCCCTGCCCAGCACAACTGTACTATTGAAAGGTGTTGGAATTTACACCTGAGGGCAACTCTAATGCTAAGCAGTTAACTTAAATCATGAAATACAATATCTGACAAGACGATAGCAAATTGTGACCATCTTAATGTCCCTTCATCTTAAGTTTAGAAATATCATGAATTATTGATGTACTATTTAAGCTTTGTAAAATGTCAATTTTTGTTAGATCAAGTACAGAAAAATTTATTCCATCTCTGAAATTAAATTTTGTTCGATATAAAATTATGAAAATACCTAAACTTTAACTTTGTCCACTTTTATATTACCTGTAGATACTCATTGCCGTCTTTCATAGTTGCCTTGAAGCATGTCTTTGACTGAACCATCAAATAGACTGACAAGTTATGCTGCAACTTGGACTTGTTGAAAAGATTCCTGATTTACAATTATTTACACTCGATGCTCAACTTAAACACATTTTTGTGCGTTGAAGGATCCAGTTTCATGTGGTTTTAAACAGATTTTAATGTGACTAGGGCGCCATCTACTGTTTGCTGCTGAATGATTTGGTAATCTTGTCCAGATGGGACTGGAATAATGCAATCAAAACTAAACCATGAAAGAAAAACAAAAACACATGGACTCAAAGTTTTATTTGTTGAAACAGTTATGTTTTTAAAAATACAAGAGTCACAACTTTTGTTTTTTGACAGATAACTTGTCTGGGATCCCAGCCATCCTCAGCGGGAACATTTTAAGATCCAACCTTGATAAAACACATATTCATGTTGTAACTAACTTGTAATTTGTCTGCTTTACCAACAGCAGTGTCAACCTTTTCAGAATGTTAATAGGTTAATCTACAGCATTTTTATTTACAAAATTACAGAAAAAAGCCAAACAAAGCTCTTCTTCTGAAGAGCATTTGGAAAATAATTTAAAAATAAAAATACAATTATTGCAGTATACTACAATCTTATTGTTACATGATGCCCAAGCACCACCCCAATGTACAGATTTCAGTGCAATTCATTCACACGTACCCTCCCATGGGAAAACAGGAGCTTTGCCTCAGAGTATTAGAGATGTTAAAACCTCTGCCACATTTCTGCAAATTTAGAGAGGACATCTTTTGTGACAGTGTCATACCAGTTTAGACACCAAAGCTATTTCATAGTAATGGATGGCTGGCTTCTTCACATTACACAATGATATATGTACAAACTACAGCAATACAAATTATTTTGAGACCAAGAATTCAATAAAGAACAGGTAGTTATATGGGGAAAAGTGTCACATCATTGAGTTCATCACAACAGAGGTGAAGTTGTTAAGTTTCTGTAACAAAATCTATGTCCTGTCTCATCATGATCCTCTATATAATCTCAACCATTATGGATCTCCTTGGATGCCAAACTTAGCAAAGATTATGACTGCATAAATGAGAAAAACTTAAAAAAAAAAAAAACTCCAGTGGTTAGTGAGGCTGGGAATGCCGACCCAATTGGTTTATAAGACAATCTCAACAGAACGTCTCATTACATCTATAAATCGGCCTTTAAAACAGGAAACATGAGTGACCAAGAAAATGTAAAAATCCAAACAATATAAAAACGCTAGTGTCACCTTTTTTAACCAAACAGGCTGCTCCACGTAATGACCACCTTCTGAGTGTAAAATTGTGATTTTACATGTCTGACTTCCTATACACTGATGCAAAGACTTCATCCCCATCCCTAAATCAAGATCGTCGCAGACCTCTATCAGTGTTCTGAATGTTTACATCCTGTTTTGCATCCATCGTCACTCAAGAGCCGTGGTTCGGCGGATGTTGGAGGTCCTGTCCTGAGAATATTGGGTGTAGAAGTGGGTGTAGCTGGAGAGCTGCTGCTGCAGCAGCCTGTGACGGCCGAGGTGCGAATAGTGTTGGGTAGAGGGCTGTGTGCGGGACATGGTGGAGCGCCAAGGGTGTGTGGTGAAGTGCAGAAGCAGGGATAATATGAATAGGCTGACCGGAGAGGAAGGCTGTTGGGTGGGCAGGAATCAGCCCTGCATGCCCCAGAGAATGTCCCAAAGAATGACCAAGAGAGTGGCCTAACGGGGACAGGGAGATGGGAGTAAGGTGGTGCTGGGGAATGTGATGCACCTGTGCCAGCTGGGCATGTGCAGGGTGAGGATGGTGGGCATGCGCGGGGTGGATTCCCATTGCAGCAGCGGTGGCTGCGTGGTGCTGCAGGATGGCATGTTGGACAGTGGTGATCGATGTCCCAGAGGCGACGGAGACGGTTGGCTGCTGAATGTGGATCTGCTGCAGGGCTGGTGGAGGGGGCGCCGGGGCTAAGTTAGCAGCTGCTGCAGCAGCGGCCGCAGCGGCAGCAGCAGAGGGGAAGGCCTTGACCTGCTTGGCCAGAAGCTGTTGCTGAATGTGTTGCTGCGCCGCCTGTTGCAGCTTGCTGTACTTCTCCATCTCCTCTGGAGTGAATGTGATTGGCTGACTCTCCAGTGGTGCCAGGCCATCCTCCTCCGTTTCGATGCCATCTTCCTCCAGACTGGACGGGTGGTAAGCGGGGTAACCATGCACTGGCTGCTGTTGCTGCATTTCAGGCATGATTGACTCCATCATGGAGTTCTGGGAGAGGTCTTGACCTGGCTCTGCTTGATACTGGGGCATAATCATGGAAGGATCTTGTTCAAACAGTGGCTGTGGTTCTTGGTGTACTTGCTCTTCTGTGGCCGACTGCTGCTGTGTCTCTTCCTGTGTCACTGTGTTCTGCTGCACTTCCTCGACCTTCTGCACTGGTGGCGCTGGGGGCGGTGGAGGAGGGGGAAACTCCCTTATGTGTTCTACTAGGATGACCTCTCCATCCGCTTCAGAACCCTTCCCCGTTCCTGATTTCTCTCCCTCATCGGGTCTCGTTAGGGGAATCAACGGTTTCTTCCCTGCTTGCAGCTTACCAAAGAGGGGCAACATGGCTTTGCTTCCCAGGGCTGGTGGTAATTTAGGACCAAAGTAACCCTGTGGTGGATCCTTAATCTTAATCCCAGATTTTGTTCCGGAGGCAGAATCCTCTGAACTTTTCTTGGACTGAACCCTCTCAAGCAACTGCCGCGCTGTAAGCATGTTCTTGTGTTCCCCTGCATCACGAGACCCGACCGGCCTCAAAGTCTGGGAAGTTGATGTGTGGCTGCTCCGGTTGAGGCTTCGCGATGACGTGCGAGGAGACTGCGAGCGATAAATCCGAGATCGGTTGAAGTCTCTGCGATGTGTGTCGCTGTCTGCCCGACCCCTGGCGCTCCGTCGGTGAGGCGAGCCTTTGTTGGAACTGGAGGAGCGACTCGCTGAGCTTCGACTCCGGCTATAGCTTCGTCTCCACGATCTTGTGCTGGTGCTGCGGCTCCAGCTGCTGGAGCTTCTCGAGCTGCTGTGGTGGTGCCGCCGGTGCCGCTTCCTCCTGCTGTAGCTGCGAGAACGAGAGCGGGAATCGTCTGAGGATGAAGAGGAGTATTGATGTCTTCTGGATCGCCTGCGACCTCGACTGCCCCGTCGCTCATACTCTGAGTCAGATGAACGTTTAGAGCGCCTCCGTCGGCGGCCTTCCGTGCTGTAGTCGCTGTAGCTGTCGGAATAACTGTGGCTGCGGTGACTGTAGGCGCTACTTCTTGCTGAGGAGCGCCCAGAACTGCTGGAGTAGGAGCGACTGCGGGAGGTTTGGCCACGATGGTGCCGCCGGCTGCTGCCACGTCGTTCTCCCCGCCTTGATGAGCGACTGTGGGACCGTCTGGACTCTTCGCTGTGGTGGCGCCGCTGCTCTCGTGGGCTGGACCTGTGATGACGTGAATGTTGGGTGTTGGAGCCGCCTTCCTCCTCGCTCTCACTGCTGGGTGGTCGACCGTGACCTGGACTCTTCTGAGCAGATGTAGAACATGATGCATTTTGCGATCCGCTCGAGTCTGTTTTTTGTCTTTTAGAGTTACAGGGATCTTCTGAGGAGTTGCTCTTGTCGTTATTTTTTCCACTTCCTCCTTGTTCTGCTCCAGATTTAGAAGGCACTTCCTTTGCAGCGCGTTTCCTTTTACCTGGCTCGGATCCTGTTGTTCTTCCAGCTGTGGACTGAACAGAGGAACCAGCAGCTTTATCTTCTAACTTTGGCTTGACTTTTTCTTTATCATCACCTGCCACCTGTTCTTGATCTTGAGCTTTGTTTTTGCTCTTTTTCCGTTTGTGTTTCTTCTTCTTTTTAGGCTTTTCTTGTGTTGCTTCCGTATTCTCTTCTGCATCACCAGCTGCATCTTTTTCTTTTCCTTTGCGTTTTGAATGTTTCCCCGATTTCTTATGCTTCTTCTTCTTCTTTTTCTTTTTTGTGCTACTACTGGCAGTCGTGGGTTTTTGCTCATCAGGTCCTGGCTGGCTGGGATCTTCCTTCATCTCAGGCGTCTCTTTATCAGTGCATGCTTCAGGTTCTGGTACAGTGGCTTCAGCTGTTGAAGTAGCTACAACCTGCCCTTTGTCATCAGCCTCTTCTCCAGGCTTGAGGGACTTTGCTGATTTCCCACCACGCAGTCCTTTATTTCTTGAAAGCTTAAAGTCAAAGTAGAGAGGATTACAGCTGTAAGACAGTGAAGGTTGAGCTTTTGTAAATTCAAGAAGCTCCGTTGGCCACTGTAAAGTGGTACTTTCATCTTTGCTCAGGACAGGGAAGAAGGGATCCGTTGGGACTTTTGGACCAGTGTTTGTATCGAGTATGCTCTGTGTGTTCTCTGCTTTCTGAGTAGGAGAAGTGGAAGCAGTTGAAACGGTCTCTTGCTCACAAGATGAGATATTGTCCTCTGTCTTCACTTTAGGTGATAAAGGAGGCGGTTCTGGTTCAGTTGCTGATATATCCTCACCTTGTTCTTGTTCAGGTTTACACTCAGTTTCTTTGGACTCTGTTTGATCAGAGCTTTCTTCAGCCTTTTGAACTTCATCTACTTCCTCTTCATCTTCATCGTCTTTGCTCTGGCACTGCTCAGAAGCCTTCATAAACAACAAAAACTGGAAGTTGGGCTTTACACGACAATGAGCTGGCGGGATGTAATGGTAGTACTGTGGTTCTTGTCCAGAAAATCCTTCATCCTTTTTCATCATCATCTTAAGTTTGTTTAAAGTCGAGGTCAAGGATCCTCCGTCATCAGGCTGCTGGATATCTTCTGCCCCAGCTACACCACCTTTTTCCCCTCCTTCATCTCCTTCAGGTGCTCTTCTGGGACTCTCTGTGCTGCATCCAGATGCCTCCTCTTGTCCTCCAGCCTTTTCCCCTTCCTGATTTTCCTCTTCCTCCACGGCCTCCTCGCCATGATCAGCAAACACAGCCGCTGCCGTCTCCAGCTTTACTGGGGCTTTCTTTGCAAACGAGAATGATACACTGACTTTTGATGTGCCAGTAGGGGTTGGGGATGAGGATGAGGATGTGTTCTTCCCCAGAGAAAAATTTAAAGTTGGGCTGGGCTTTGGGGAAGATTGGCCAGTTTTCTCTGACGGTGAACTCTCGAGGATGGAATCTGTAAAAATGGGGTTCTCAAGTGGCATGCCGTCCCCATCTCCTTCTTTCTCCCCGTCAACAGCAACTGTGGTTGTTTTGAACATTGGGCCACTTCCAGGCGTACTAAAAAGCAAGGTAAAAATAATCTTAAACACATATTCAATGACTGACGGCCAGCAGAGGGCGCTGAGGTGATATGATCATACCGGTCCTGTTTGTCCTTTTTCCTCTGCTCAGCCAACTCGTGCAGTCGACGCAGCATCTTCTCTTGCTTCTTTCCATCTTTCCGAGAGCGGGAGGACACGTTGCGAGCGAACTCTCTCTGCTTCAGCTCTTTTAACCTCTGCATCATATTAAAAAGGACATGTATTCATTCCTTTTCACATGTGTGGCAACTGAATGTGATCAGATTTTTTATTTCTTCACATCGTCTTTTCATGTTTGTGTCATGATCAGATGGGTAATAAAAGTTGAGCAAACTGTTACGTATACCTATTTCCAAGACATTGAAAGAGATGTCTTGAGTAACATCTGAAAACTGCTACTTTATCTTACTGATGAACCGTTTTGCTTCAAGAGAGAAAAAAAAAATTACCTGTTTGTGGGCATGGTCGTATGAGTTAATGTGGTTGTCAAATTCCTGGTGTTTAGTGTACTGCTTGTCACAAAGCTCGCAGTAGAAATTCGCCCTCAGGTCTTCCAGCGCTTTTGCGATAGCTTTCTCTTTTTCCACCTGGTCCTGAATTTGGTAAAAAAAAAAAAAATGTGTTACTTTCAAGAAGATTAGAAAACACACAAGCAATCATCTTCTTTGATGAATGTTAAGTCATTTAAAAAAACAAAATAAATAAAGGACTTTACCTTGTATTTTTGCCGCAACTCTTCTGTATCCTCTTTTTCCACTTCAAGCACTCTCCGCTTCTCTGTGGCATCCTCTGCATAGTCCAGCTAAAAGGACAAACACATCAATTCCAGCACCTCCAGCAAACAGTCTGAGAGTCAACAACAGCAGTCTGCCATTTTATACGTTTGACAGAGGGAGCTAATTTTTGCTGCTGTGTAGTCTCCAAAACATGCTGACTTCTCTGTATTTCTAATGTAGGGAAGACAATAATTTTTATTGTGTAAATGCAGATTAAATAAAGGCCAAACATAGCCCAGGGTTGGAAGTGACATTTAAAAAAATGCCAGTGATGCAGACAGAAGGATGCTACCGTCAACATTTTACTGAAGGAGCCAAAGAATGGGCTAAAATCACCATCAGTAGGTCAAAACCGAGCAAAACTGAAGATCGGAAATAGGCCACTAGAACAAGAAGGTTTTTTTTTTGCATAACTCTTATGTTTAAAGATAAATGTGATTATTTGTTTTTCTTTTCTTTGTCTCCCAATAGAATCTCTGAGGACAAATAACATGAGGTATGCAATACAGTAAGTAATTAGCACTGACAAATCTGGAATGATAATTTACAACGTGCTCCTCTTGCATCTCCTGGACTCTAAAAGACAACTTTAGCTCATGTGTGCATGGTGCTCCTTGGGACTTGTAGTTTTTTTTTTTTTGTCATATAAAAAGGATTTGATGCTTTAGATTTAGGTGTCAGAATGAGATTTCCAACTGAGGACAGAACAAAATAACAAGCGACCTAGTTTATTCAGATGGCTCACAGCAAAGCAGCTGATGTTGTTCCTCAGTTTTTTCAACACAGATTGGAATGAGAATCAACACCAGCATGTTTGTTTGGGATCAGCTACAACAGGACATGAGATTCTAATTAATTTTACACCAAGTAAATGTGCCTGACTTTGCCTCAACAGCTTATAAATATAAACATGAACATTACATGGGGTCAAATGGATAACTTCCAGCATCTTACCTCCATCTCCATTCGGCCCATCCCCATGACATCATATTTAAGAACAATGGGCACAGGGTCGGTGCGTCCTGAAGCAAAAGAGACAGAGAAGACTAGTTGAGTTTCTGAGATGGAGACCAAACACCAACTCGAAGACAGCCTGCTTTTAGAGCATAGGGTGCTGGGGTTAGAGAATTTTTGCCTTGAAAGTGCAAAGAGACCAGAAAGCTACAGTGAACCAAACACCAGCCATTCTCACAGCTTACTACAGCCAACTTCTGAACAAATGTGACTTAGAAAGTTTCAATGTGGCTGTTGGTTTGTATAGTAGGCACTGTCGGTGGATTAGAGTCTTTTTAGCTTTGATACATTTCTGGTGGATTAAATAAAGACAAGGCCTAATTCTATACTGAAATGGCACCCCCCCACTTCCCTGTGTTAAAGTCCTGTTCGACCAGAAAGACAAGTTTATAGGGAAGTGATGTACCCATATATGGTATTGGGCAAGATTGCAACAGATGTCTTCATTACTAAATCCTTCATGGAAGAGGAACTCCTAACAAGCATGTTAAGCCAATTGCTTCATCTATAACAGGACTGTCTGTAGCAAACAATTTTTACTGTCACGAGGTACAAAGCAGTTTGACTTTCCCAAGCTCCCTTTTTGTTCTCCATCATCAAAATATTAATTTCCTATCCACTTAGGTTATACTACGTAAGCTGTGAAAAGAGCTAGAACAGAAGGAAATTAACTTCAGAAAAATAAAACCAAGACAACCAAAACAGAATGAAACATTATAGATATGAAATATTTAGAAATCAAAACTACTTTAGAGATTGACACAAATTGCTTGATCCATTTATAATCAGCCAAACAAAGCAGAGAGAATGTAAAAAAATAAAATAAAAAAATAAAGACACAAGCACTGAACTACAGCAGAGTGACGTCACAGGCCAGGTGTCGCCATGTTGACAGTGCAAGGGAAGGGGATACTTACCTGGTAAAACATGAGGGGATGAGTATAAGAGGAGGAAAGGGGAGGACAGACAGATAGGTAGAAAGAAAGAAAGACACGGGAATCTCAAAAGAATAAGCAGAAAAAGAATTTGGACTAGTCTGCTGCTCCTGATGCCAGCCAGATACAAAAACCAATCTTACTGATGGCAACTTTAATTCAGTTTGGTTTCAGTTTTTTTTTCCCTCCAATATATTCACAATTGTTTCTTTCCCCTCCAGATCTCTAGGCATGCCATTGGGATTATTAAAAAATATGACCCTGGATGGATTTGTTCCAAATTGAAATGCATGCTTCCAAAATGAAAGGAAAGTAGATTCCTTGTTAAACTGAGGAAGGTAAGACAGACGGTTGATGTAATTATGCATCATTCCTGTACTCGCCTTAGGTAATTAAGTCAGAACAGCCCAATGACTTATTCGTTCTGAAATCGCTGATGCATGGACATTGTAACATGTCTCTGCCTGCCTGGACTTTCAGTCCCACTGCAGTGTCTCTTAAGTTGGATGGTTTTATACCAGTATCTTCCTCTCACCTCATGGTTCTCAGTGCCTTATTTAAATGGAGGAATTAATAGGGAACGGCTGTTTGTGTGACACTGAGAACACAAGTCTATTCAAAGATGTGTGGTTTCACAGTCTTTCACAAACAAAATCAAAGCAGTGAAGAAAAAAAAGTCTGATCTGTTAGCCAGCCACTGCAGTGGTCTGTCTGAACTGAGTCACAAGCAAGGCCCAGAACTGAAGATTCTTGACCAATTACAATCATCCCAAACTATCATCAGTCTTTCTACACAGTGACAATACCTCCAGCATTACCCCATTCCAGTGGAAAACAAAAAGGACCAGACAAAAAACAATGTACAGCTAAAATCACAAGGTGTGAATCACAAGGTTAAAAAAAACTGAAAACAAAATGACAATGTTCTAAGAGTAATACAGATGCATGGTAATATACAAGCAGCAGAATGAGGACTAGGACAGAGAGAATTGAAAGCCTATGTAGCATTTGTGCTCTGATGAGAGGAAAATGAAAATAATGGGAGGAATTAAAACAAAAAAAACAAAACAATTCAATTGGGGGATAAAATAACATTTACCACTAAGTTTACCATCAGCACAACATGGGCAGGATCAAATCGCTGTAAAAAAGAAACACCAATTGGTTAAGCAGGAAGATTGAGGCACACAGAGAAGGGCAGGTGGGGTTGGGTGTGTGGTAATGGGGCTTCAGGGCATTTATTACCAGAGGGTCTTCCGTGAGTCACCGCCCACCCCCACCCACCTAATCCCTTTACTCAGGGCTAGGTGCTTACAGGAATCTCCTCTCACCACTAATTCAAACCGCTTGTCCAAGTCCCCAGGCCCCTAAAGTGATGTTGTGCATTTTGACTGAAAATGTAACCCAAGAAACCAGACTACCATCCCCTAAACCTAAGCTTTTCCACTACTGAATGTTGTGACCAGTAACTTTCATTTATTCATTTTACAGATCAACAAGTTACCATTAAAATAAAATGTACCAATATTTTGAATTTTATGTTTTCCTACATGCAGAAGTGTAATGCATATCAAAAGCCAGGCAGCATAAAACACAGAAAAACACTAAAATCGCTACCTAGAATTGATCATAAATGGTACAGGTTATAAGAAGTTCTATATTACTGCTCATCAACAACCCGTAGGGAAAAAGCAGCTACAGTACGTCAAACGTTTGTATGCCTGTTAAGACATATTGACCCTTTTATAAAGAGATTACCGGATGACTCTCGCCAACTTAAAATACGCATTGAACACATTTAGGCACGGGCCAGCAGGGCATCCTCACAAGATGATAAGCTTAGAAAAAAATACAATTGTTCCACTGCAACACTTTGTTGACTTAAATATATAAAACAAATATGACCTGTTTAAAAAAAAAATCTGAAAAACAAAAATTTGGCAATGTGGTATTGGTTTGCTCATATGAGACTGTGTCAGTGATGCAGAGCAAGACTGTCGGGTGTTTAACTGAAGCAGAGAAGCAATGTCAGAGTGCCATAACAGCAATAGTCATATCAGATATTGACTCAAATTTTTATATCGCTGCATCCCTAAGTGAAACAGATCACAAAAAGCATGTACTAATTAACAAATTGGGCTACCAGCTCATAGTCAGTCTGCAGACATCTCAGCAGAGATGCTGCTTCTAACTTGCTACTGTGGGAAAAAAAATTATTTCCAAGCACTGTCAGGTGAAATCAGTCAAGTTTATTCTTATTTGAATTATTATTAAAACATAAGCAGGACAGTTTTGCATCATAACTGACTTTAGTCGATTAAAATATGTTCATACATCTTCATTTTTCTTTCTTGTAAGCAAGGGGGGAAAAGTGCAGAAGCCAGCTGCTCAGCAGTGTTTAGCAAAATGTGGGAGACAGAAGACAGCACTGGTTAGTCTCAATTAAGCATGTGCCAGTTCTGACAACATGAATCATGTTTTAACAAGGCTCCTTTTGAACAATAAGTGTCTCTGAAGGAAACATCTGCTATTGTGAGCCAACTCTTGCAGATGTAGTAGATTTACTATTTACAACTAACTACAGAGTTAATATAAAAGTGTTACAGAAGAATAAATACTGTTTATATTCATTTATGCAGGTGCTTAATCTTAAAGCTCTAATGGTTGAAGTCGCTCCTCTCTGTTATGACCCTGACTCGCTATGTGAGGTAGCCACAGCCCCCGCTGACTATTTTAGCTTGAGGGAATGATTCAGTGATAAAATATAGTTTGTGTAACAAGCTGGTAGTTTAATTTAAAAGTTTATATTCCAAGCATCTCCTCGGCTTGGATTTATAAACCTTGTTCCTCTACCATCATTGTTATAAAAAGTATATGGAGAAATTTTCAACAGATTTTATGCACAGGCGCTGTTGTCAATGTCTCAGCACACCTGTCGCGTTGCATTGACTTCATTTATAAAAGCTCAGATATGCAGGACATTGCTATTTTCACTTGTAATTTATAAATGACCAGATGCGTCTTTGTTTTATTTTGGCCATTTAGATCAATTTTTTCCTGATGCTTTCTCTATAAGAACTTTAAACAACAAAAACTGTCTGAAGGAAAAGTAATAACTTGCTTTTAAGAACATTGACCTTGATAACAATAACTGACCCGTGCCTAAATCAACTAAGCTGTCTTTTAAAATATGATGAATGCTTCTAGGGAAGACCACAATTTTCCCCCTCTAAGCTTTTTGCCTTGCCTATGCTTGTCAGCCCAGTAAGGATCTCTCCTCAAGATCCTTTGTCCTGGCTAGTCTACAGCCAGCAAGCTCAGTCTGGGATGTGCTTAACCCCACAACAAATAAAAACATGAAATATAGGAACGTACCTGAAAGAATAGCCAGCAATGCTTTGAGCAGTGTTTAGAGTCACTTCTGCAATGCTATTGGTGTTATGGAGGATTTAAACAACAATTATGGATGAGGTTGGGTTTTTTTTAGTTTCACATTGTTTTTATTTATTGAACATTGTAATTCTGCATCCTACCTCCAACACTGCTTAAAGCCTCTGGTAAGTAAGAGATTGAGGCAAGCAGGAGTACACCTCTGGACAAACATGCTGTGCAGGAGGAGCAAAGAAATGGGGGGAGGATGGAAGTCTGTACCATGGGGACAGAGACACTCGGAGTGTAAAAAGGTGGAGAGGTTTTCCCTGTAAGTCGACTCTATTGCCTGGTAAGTAGCAGACACACACACATCTCAGTCCCACATAATGACCACGCACATACAGACACAACTTTCACTGTTTTAGAGGTAGAAAAAGGTAAACAAGCAGAGGGGGAAACTTTTCTACACGGCAAGCCATTCAGAGTCTGAGCCGTGGTTACAGCCAATCAGATTACTTCAACAGCAGCCACGGAAACTCAAAGAGGGGAGGAAAAAAAATCTAAAATATGTGGAGATGATTATTCTAGGGGATGTGAATCATGAATCATGGGTTCCTAAATCTACCTTGATTTCACATGGATCTTGATTTTTGGTGCAAATCGAAGCATTTTCTCTTAAGCAGATTGAAATAAAGGTTTAGTGATTATGAAGCAAAGAGGAAGAAGCTGACCGAGGCCATTAGCCTATGATACACTGTAAAAGGAGTGTTACACTTAGGTCAACTGCAGAGTGGGAGAAAGAAAACACACCCACACATGCATACTGACATAGAGAAGGGATCCAACAAACCTTACCTAAAAGGGGCAAAAAAGGGACAAAAGAAGAACAAGAACAAAGTCAATACAGTGAAAAAACGTAAAGAGGGGACAATGCTTTAACTTCAAATGTCAACAACTGTCTCTTCTGGCAAGGAGGACAGGAAAGAGGAGGAAGATTACCATGATTATCCAGCATACTTCAATGAGATGTGATGCTGTGATTAGTATGGAAGCTTACTCACAAGTTGGAGAGGACAGCAGTCTCTAAGCAGGGCCACTAATTCCTACACAACAACTGGACACAATTTGCTGCAGTCTCGTCTGCCCACAATGTAGGATGCTTACATAACCATGTGAGTTCTGCCAGAGGCACAAACAAGAGCACAGTCATCCCCTGCGATGTGTTCTCTCCTCCACACAAAGCTCATCTTATCACTTCAAATATATTGCTACTCAGCTCTTCAAGGCTGGATGGAAATAAACATGGATGGATTTTTTTTTCTCTCTCTGCTATGTTGTTGACCTCAATGCACTTGTCAGCTTGCCCAGAAAGAAACAGCTTCCAGGTCTAATCCGTTCACTTGCCCCAGTCATGCTGAAAATACCTTTGAGATGACAAGAAACTAAGGCTATATATGTACATCAACAAAAAGTAGTTGGGCAGCAACAAGACACCAACCCCACTCAACCAGACAATAGGCTTCCCTGTAGTGTCTCAAGAAGATCTCAGTTACAATGTCAGTCTTCATTTGATTTAAATACACTCCTGCTTGTAAAAAAAAATTACTTTTATGGCCCAATACCAACTTTTTCTGAGCAAACCTCAAGCAGTTTTATCTGACAACAGAACCAATAAATAATGTCTCACAATAAACAGTTAATTTCAGCAGTAAGCTTCTCTGTGGAGGATATTCATCTGAACTGTTTTAATGTGGTAATATTTTGAGCTCATCTGGGATTTTTCCCTGATAGTTTGAGTTGCATTCATAATTGAAATGTTAACATTTAGAACAGATGTTGCTGGTGGACATTTTAGGGAGAATAAAATTTAAATTTTGCAACAAATTATGAAGGATGGCTGAGAAAAGACTAAAATGATTTGTAATAAATCAGATGTAGTGGAGAGGGTGGATTAGATAAAAACATAATAAACAGAGGCCCAATTAAGCATTAAGACGGAAGATTGGCATTTGGGTACGATGCCAAGCGGCATCCTTTTGAGGTAAATTTCTAAGATTAGTGATTATTTCTTAAAAAAAAAAAACAGAACAAAATCAAAAATCTGTTGCACTGTGGAAAAATGGAAGATACTTAGAAATGGAAGTTAAACAACAAAACAAGGAAGGGCTTTGTGAAACATGCCAGGGGTTTGAATCACTGCTACTTATCCTTTAAACCCTTGAACACAACAGTTTTGAGCTAATAATGTAGTAAATAGCCAAAACCAACCCACACACTCAAACACCCTAATCTTCAGGCTTTACTCTCAGAATGAGCATCAAAATTACCTGGGGAAAGTTATCTTTTTCCTGAACAATTTTATGAAAACTGAATTTCATAATTTATTTAGTATACAAATCCCAAAATTTATCTTATGTGTCAGAAACACTGCCAATGAAATATGTTGGTTTAATATACAAGATTGAAATGCTGTTTTCATCTTTCATCACTGTATGATTGTCTTGTGCAGTGTCTCACAAAAACAACAGACTGCATGACAGAGAATAAATGTGACAAACTGCTTTGCATGTTGAGTTAAAATGGTTAACTACATGCATATTTAAGCAAGAATACTTTTACTTTGGTTAAAACCACCACCAATGGTACAAAAACAGGCTATGAGAAACCTACAAAATGTCCTATGCTACAGAGCTATAGGTTTCTGAATATGTGTTAGAAGCAAGAAAGTTCTTACTTTTTTGGTCTGTTTTTGGAATAAATGGATTCTAATGGTTTCACCTGTGTGCAGGAGATTTAATACCTCAAAATATAAGGCATTACTCAAGTTGAAGTTGTTTAACAGTGAACTTGGACTTGCAGCTCAGTGCAGATGAAACAACTAAAAAAGGTCCTAATGTGCTACGTCATATTAATACTAAAAACATAAATTATTATTGGTTTTAGTTTTGTGCATATTAGCAACCAGTTGGATTGCACACATTTGAGCATCAGTGTGATGCAACCTTACTTTTGAGCATTTTAAATCTAATCTTCACTTAAATTGCATTTATGGTTTATGTTGGACAAAGCAACATAAACATAAAGCAACAAGTCCAAGTTCACTATATTATGCAATCCAAAATGCCACTAAAGCTAAAGTTTACATGGCAACAACATTAAATGTCTGTTAAAAATACCAATTCTAACATCTAACATGATATCGTATTTGGAGTTTCAGCAAAATATATGAAAAATATTTAAAAAATAAAAATGATATCAGAAAATATGAGAGAACTCTGAACTTTTATTCTTGTTAAACTAGATGTCAACATACCAGTTTACAATAAAATAAAATAAAAATCACCAAGGATTACACTTAATCCACTACAAGACTCCATGAATCTTTTCTTCCATCTCCAAGTTCACTTGAGAGCGACAAAAACAACTGGAATCATGTTTGCGTTAGCCACAATTTTTCCAATCCAGAATCAGGCAAAAGGAAGAGGTCAAAGAAAGGATGTGAAGAGCAAAATAAATCAGGGAGGATGTTGTTTAAAACAAAAGAATGAAAATATGAGAAGAAAGAAAACAAAAGTAGATAGTGGCTCAGTGCCACCAGCAAACTGAGAACATGAGTGTGCTTCAGAGTGAACCCTTACCCTGCATGGCCTTGCCAAGTCCTTGCCCCAACTTCCATCCATGTTTCTGAAGCAGCCGGTGCCCGATGTTATCCTGGCAGAGAGAAGAGAGGAGAAAAAAACCAAAAATATTCCAATAATAAGAGGAGCTATACCCTGTGGGCATGAATGAAAACATCAAGACAAACGAAACACTCAAATCACACTATCATCATAAGCACAACCACCACCACCATCACCATTATCATTCTTGTCATCACCTACAGCGTGTAATAATCAGTGTCCTCCAGCACAAGGAGTGTTAGGGCAGTTGGGGAGAGGGATAAAAAGGCTGGGAGACTTGAGTTGAAGGATAAGATTGCCTCTATGTTAAGTAAATGCATGAATCTCTGTGTGGTCTGCAACCTGCAGGGTTTACTCCTATGTCATGAGTGTATTTTGAAAAAATAAATAAATAACGTTTTCAGGCAAAAAGAAAAACAACTATCATTTATTATCAAGATAAACACATCAAATAACATCCACTATGTAAGAAGTTAGAAGGAGGAGGAGGAAGGAGAGGGCAATATATGTATCGCACGCATACATATATGAGACACTACAGCGCAGAATCTTCGTACACAAAGAAAAGCGACACGGAACAGGTATGGAAATCTAGCAATAACAAAATGTAGATCAGAAACCCAAGCTTGCTGTAATTCCGTAACCATGACAAGGGGAGCACCATGAGACATTCAGGTGTCACAAAAATAGAGCAAAAGAAACAGACAGAAGTGGAGCTTTTGGGCCTTGGATTACCATTACAAGGCCCAGAGTGGACTGATTATGCATGTGTGAAGGGCTCTGTGGGTGTGCAGATGAAAAGGACGACAGTGTACTTCGAACCCCATTAGATATACCAAAATGACTGTTGGGCATGTTTTTGGACACTTCCTGCGTTTAGATTGTCAGATTCCAACCATTTTCACACCAACAATGAGCAACAATTTGGTAATCTGCTGTAACCTATACACATTTTCACATTTCTGCTCAAGATTCCCATAATGTGCATCAACAATCTTGGTTGGATCTGACAACTGATAATGAGCAAAAGAAGATTGTTCAAAAACATTCACAAGAGCATTTTCTAGTACACTGTGGGGCCATTGAGCAAGTCATGTTATTTCACTAGTATTGGTAAGCGAGGTAACAAAAACAAAGTGAAATGCAAGACAATCCCACCACTACACACTACAGTACATCCTCAAGCACATATAAACAAGAAAATGACATTTCTTTATAAGCAGTGATTTTTGTTGTGATTATAACTATTCCAAGCTTGTCTAACATTCACCAGAGTGCTGCATTCTATCAAAAAAAAAAAAAACATACAAACCAAACAGAAAGGATATTTATAATCACAAAGAGACTGACGTCGACTTTCACAAACAAAGTGAGGGGAAGGAATAAAACTAAAACAAAAAAAGCATGCAGCTTTTTGTTAAATTGTTTTAACAAAAAGGGTCGTCGGTGTTAGTAAGCGCACTGTGAGTGGTACACATACAGTCGGGAGGTTGGGGAGGGGGAGTAGAGGACAGGTGAACAAAACTCCAGCTGAGTTAGTATCGGATGGATCAGGCACAGTGAGGGAGGATGGCTCAACAATGCTTGATTAGGCCTCTTAGACAAGAGGTCAGGAAAATTGGCAGAATAGAGCAGGCTGAGCCATGGTGAAGGTGGATTTTCAGGTGATGGAAGTGAACTGGGTTTGTAAGAGGTTAGAGCATGTGAAGGGAGTAGTGGCCTCAAACACACGGCACACATCGCATCTCTGTCCACAATGGTGCAAGTGGAGGGAATTCGACTTAATCCTTCGTTTTAAATCACATATTGTCACCAGCTTTTGCTCTCAATGTATTTCAAGGAGAAATCTAGAGTTAGCTGTATCATAAAATGCCATATCATGATGACTAGAATAAACAAATCCATGTGACTGATTTGTGCCTCCTGCTATCTAAAGAAAAGAGGGTGTCACTTCCTGTTGTCCTGTTATTTCATCCTCCATTCATGCTTATCCAAACCCTGTGTACTTTGTTTGTCATAGGTCTTTTCCTCCACAGGAAGAGATAAAAAAAAATAAAAAATTAGTCACATCACATGGCAGAGAGGAAACAACACATCTAACTTGGTATGACTTGTTGAAGTTTAGCAGGTTTCTATTCTTTCCCGGTACTGAAAAGCTAAGTGTAACTTCTAGGAAATATTACTCTTGTCATTCGCTCTGTGTCTCCTAATTATTTGCTACAGTTTTAACGTGCAGCAATGTTAAGGATGCCAATATTTAATTGTTTGCAGAGTTGCATATGCTGCTTGAAAAGAAAAAAAAAATTAATCCACTCAGAACTATGAACTGGGAAATACCAGACAAAAACAGTCCAGCTAAATAATCTGAAATCTTGTGAATATCAAATCAAGCCATATTTCAAATCATTTTTGGAGAATTTAGAAACAAACCAGGTAGAGCAGGCTGGAGGCAGCAACAGTGTGCGCCTATTGACTGTAAACAGATTAGGTCAAAATGAATTCTGTGGAGGTTGGTGGCCAGAGATGACGTGTACGCTGGGTGTTGGGACAGCAGATGAGTGCACCAAAAGAATTGACAGATGGATGAAAGCAACGACGGCGAGTCCAACAGCAGTGCAAGTGGAGTGAAGGCATTTCCATACGAACCTGGCTTTAAAATACTGGGCTGTCAAAAAAACAGTCACACGTGACACAACGTAAGAAACCGACCAAACGCTTTCAACTGCAATTCTGCTAGCTTCTCTAGGTTTTAAAAATACAAATCTCTCTCTGCCTTGAAACAATCATTATACTGAATACAAACAGAAAAGGCAGACATTTCAATAAATCCACCAACTGACTGTTAAAACAGGAGAAAAGGAAAAAATAAACAAAAGGTTAAAGCAAAATAAAATCTACAAGGATTGTTTTTATATATATATAAAAGTGTGCAATGTGCTGTCATTGGCACAATGCATGGCAAAAAATATGGATAAAGGAAGTGATATGCAGGGGACCCCACCTAGAGACCTCAGAGAATGCAGTAATTTAGTGGCTGGTGTTTTTTAATGGGAAAATATGTGCAATCATCCACCTTCAGGATCGAGAATCTTGGTTACATGTATTCATGCCTAAATCTATATAAATGTTTTACTTTAGAAACAGATCAAACATTTGTCATTTCCTAAAGGCACAGGCCAAAGAGCAGCTGCTTTTGGACAAGCTCTGCTCCTCTTAACTCCTTACAGTCTCTTTAATTCAGACATCTGAACACACTGGTCAGTGTCAGATGTGACAGGTGAGACGAAGCAGAAACTGCTTTGGAGTAACAAGCTAAGCAAGTAAAACAGAAGGCCTGGGTGCCTTCTATTTTACCAAGAAAAATAAAGT